TCAGATAATAGGCATGAAGAGGTTTAACAGGTAGTATCACTGAAAGCAATACAGCTGCTGCAGACAAAGCAGCAGTGTGAGTATGCATGTGAAAGGAAAAGCACTACACAGTAGTTTAATATTAAAAGTGGGCCCTTTAAGTGCTTCAGTCAGTAGAGCTGGAAAAGAGTTACTATATTAGTAAAGTTTATCCTATTTGAAGCCAGGGAAGAAAGAGGACAAATATGCTGACAGTGTAAGTTAATAGATTTATCAATATCACAGCTCTGTCAATTAAGACACAAGAGAACCTGATGGATAATATTTGAGTATTTCATTAAGTTAATGTGTAAAAAACAGTTGTAGTTTTTATGCTTTCAGCTGCAGACTTGTTTGAGAGAAAAGAAAGAAAGAATATAAAAGCTGAGGTCAAACTTCGGCCACTATGTGCAAATCTGAAACGAGATCAGCAAGTACAAATAGATGCCCAGAATTTGGGTCATATATTAATAGCTGAAAATACAACTGTGGTCAAATTTTAAAAAGAATTATATTTCTCATTGATAGTCCAACAATTGATGGTATTAAAAAGCTTAAGAACCTCCTACTCTAACCTGCTCTGGAGCAGGTCATGTTCACAGTATGGGTCCGTGTGTGACGCACCATCATGCTTGGCCACATTATGTGATTTAATTTTGTATATTGTGTAAGTTTTCATACGCAATTTTGTTAAAGAAAGGCTGTAATTTTATGATTTTTGTTGAAGAGCCAACATATAGCGCGATCCTACCACACTACCTGTCGTCACTATCATTTAACTGGTCTGTTCAGGACCAAATATAATCTGTCAGTCGACCTGCCACTAGGGAGCGTGTTACATTACTGTGGTGATATTCCCTGTAACAACTGAACTAACTTCATGCTGCAGACAACTTCAGCGTTAAATCTGAAATTACCCAGGTAGCAGGAAGTCATAGTGGTATCCAAGGGCCTTTACTGAGGACACCACCTAACAACATCAAATAGCATTTTTTGCATTCTAGCCTGTGTACATCAGAGATGCATGTTTGGGAGAAAACTGCTTCCTTCTGTCTTTAGTAATTTATGGTCCACTAAGCTATTAGACTCTTGTGTAAGACTCTGTGTGTAACACCCATTCTTAAAAAAACAAACAATCGTCAAAAATAATTTCATATTTTTATTAAAAAAAATATTGTATTGATTTGACCAAATGACCTCGAATAATTTATTCATTATAACTCTCCTCCAGTGAACAGTGCATCTATGTTTAAATACATTAAAAAAAAAGAACTATCTTTGAGCTGAAGGGTTTTTTTGGCCTGAAGAGATACTCGAGTATGAATCACAATGCCATCGCCTCCAGTGAAGGAGGATATAGCAGCATGAGTGAAGAAACAAGTCAATACCAACCACGGCTTGCAGCGTGTTCACCAAATCCAAAAGGTTTTGATTGAACGTTATAATCAATGCCCACCCTAGCACAGTATAGATCTGTGGTCCTTATAGAGTCACTTCTGCAATATAAAAAAGAAGCCAAGAGTTCATGTTTAATGTTGGATTCTGTGCAGAAAATAAACCTAAAGGTAAAAATATAATTTGAAATGTTCAGAAATGCTGTTGGACTAAAAAAGGGGAAACATGCTGTAACAAAACCATATCTTGGCATGTGTGAGAGCCGGTAAATATGCACTGTTATTGTGATCTGTTTTGATTATATTAGCATGAGGAAGAGTCCCACTTAAGAACTTGTGAACAAGAAGAAATAAAAACAGAAACTTCTGTGTCACAGATAAAAAAGTGACTTTATCTGTTTGTTCAAACAGATCTCATAAAGTGAAAAAAGCGAGCCCCAAACATGTGAGTGTTCAAGTTTACAGCAGGAGTATCCAGGCAAAAAGCACGGCTGCTACATCTATCATTTAAAGCTTTGATTCTCTGCCAGAGCTGGTTTTAAATTCCCCTTGTTTTGAATATCAAAACCCACACGAGTCAGCTCAAATGTAAAAATGACTTTAACATGCATTCGTTTTGCCTGTTCCACAACCCTCAGTTTAAAATTTCACCAATGTGATAATGAATGAATGATGATGTGTCCTTGCATTAAACAAGCCCTAGTGGAATTATTATTTAAATGTGTTTTTATTTACATTTACTTTCAAGGTTTCATTTGTTAATGGGTTCCTTTTTTTGGTAAATGACATTTGGTTGGTTAAAGCAGCCAAACAACAAAATATTATGCTCATGTCGTGCTAACATTCAGATAATGTACAGTAATGAAAAAAGTAATGTCAATGTAAGTGAATGGGCACGATACTGGGCTGTGAGCACAGGTCTCATTAAAGGACATCGGGAGTTGGTTTCTAACAGTTTGGGCAGGAACATGCATGAGTACCCTCCTGCAAGTAATTCTCTAGGTCTAGCAGTGTGCCTCCTGTGTAACAGCCAATTTCCTGGTATCTCCCCCACAGTTGCAGTGCTTTACTGATAGAAAGTGTGGTTGGTTTGTCTGAAAGAACTAACTGTGGAAACTGTTGTACCAAGTGTGAAATAAATAAATAAATGAAATGAAAGTTATAAGACTCTGCTGGGAGACACAGAAATCCTTGGAAATGGACGTGTGGTTCTGCCAACCTGGAGTAGCTACCATATCTGTGCAACCTGAATGGGATACAGCTACCGTCTCATGCTACCAGTGTTGACAAGAACCCGAGCAAAACACAAAACTAGAGAAAAATCAGTCAGGAGGGATGAGGAAATAAGGAAAAAAAACAGAAACCATTCCTTTGTGGGGGGATTGTCTTTTTGTTGCCTCTGCTGTGCACCTGTTGTCACTTCCATTTGCACCAAAGCAGCTGTGGATTGAAGTGGTTCCTAGACAGAAATACCTGAAGTTTAACTGACGTTATGTTACACTGATGATCAAATGTTCCCTTCATTTCTTTGTATGTATCGTTGTTTTGATTATATATACTTTTAAATTAATGCTTTTATTTCTAAAAAAAACCAACTTTAAGTGGAGAGGGAAGAATAGGGAATTTTAGGTAACATACAAACCGATTCCTGAAATTTATTTTGTGTTTTTAAGGTTTTATCACATTTGCGTAATGGGGATAAGCATGCCTTGCCCTTCACCTATTGGCTAAGCTGTTGTGACTCTCAGTGTAAAAAATGGCAGCCACTACAGAGAGAATTGTTTGATATCTAAAGATGCCCATAACCTCCTTCTTAGAGCCAGATGAGCACTTAAAACAATCCAGCTTTATTCTACAACACAGTGAAAATAAGAATTTAAATTGACTAATGATTCAGTTTCTTTGCTATATATATTTATTTAAAACGGTGACTGCAAAGACAAAATATAAAAAATCGACCACTTAATATTTCCAAAGCCTTGTTAGTAGAATTTGGATGTTTCATCTTAACTTAGCTTTTAAAACAGTTTACAACAGTTCAAATTTCTTAAAAATAATGCAAGATATTGCATTATCTTGCTAAAATAAGTAAGGCCTTCCCTGAAACATGCATTTGGGGATAGCAACATATAACGCTCAGAATCCTTTGGGTCAGAATGTATATTCTGTGTTAAATCAGAAATCTATGCTACTGTATGTATACTATGACAAATGTAATAACAAAGAACATTCGATTATGGAAATTGTATATTAGAACATGTTTATTTGGTTATTTATCAATCTGATTATTGAGGTGGTGACTTCTGTGATTTATTCTCCAACCTTTATTGGCCCAGCAGCCTCCGGCCTGTTTATTTATTATAAAAGTATTTATATCTCACTCACTCAAGTGTAATTAGCACTCTGACACATAATGTATCATAGCAACATGAGTAAAGATAATGCATGAGTAATGTAGTTTCTGCACAGAAATTAGAAAGAGTGAGTGCATCTACAGAAGAGATTTTGTAGAACTGTGTCTTAGTTCGTTATATTTGCACGCACTTATTTAACACTAGGTGCTAAACTAAGCCTGCAAACACACACACATGTCAATGAAACTACGCTGAATGTCGGGAGGATGTGTCACTGCTTTTACCGAGCCATGCCTTTCGAGTCTGTAAGCTCCTTTCCTGGCTCGTTGCTGAGGTGGGCACACATTACATGCAGCACTACAGTACGTGGTAATCTGCGCGGCTCTGCGCTGACAGCCTATTGAGTGCTGAGGGCTGACAGTAAGCCTGTTTCATGTAGGAATGTGGTTAGGGTGCTCTGCAGTCAGCGCCATCGCACAATGCACAACTCTCACTCCATCGACTACAACACAACTAAACAGAGGATACACAGAGACTGGATAGAAGGAGATAGGAGGGCAAGTGAAGAGAGAGTTAGATGACAGGCAAAAGCACGAGAAAGAAAAACAGGTGGATTAGAGCGCTGTAGAGGCTGGAAACTGTCCTCCCTTCTCATCTCTGTCATTGAGAGGACAGTAAAATTGACTTGCAATTAGATAACAGCACCTCTCTGTCCTCCTCCGCTTCTCAGCCAGGACATACGATGTGAGGAAGACGGGAACTGTCATGTTGTATCACTTAATCATCTTAATTTTGAAGACAATTTTCACACATTGTTTACTTTACTTGCTCAGTGACCAAACTGTTGCCTGGGTGGGAAAAAAAGGAAACTCTCCATTACCTGATATTCCATCTTTTGGTACGGTGCTATTAAGTCCTGTACTGGAGTCAATACGCTGAGCTGTTTGACATTTTCACCATCTGGTAAAATGCAGCCCAGGTGAAAACTTATTGTTACTGAGAAATGAACAGCTTAGCAAATAAAAGGTTGCAAGACTCATGCTCACAGCTGCTTGCAGGCAGTAATTCTGTCATGCTTATTCGTTGCATATGAATGACAACCCTGGATATAAATATGAATGCATCATCGGCATTTCTTTTTGCAAAAGTATACGATAAATCCACACACCACCAAACAACTCCAATGTTGCTATGAGATCAAAAAGATGGGATGGATGCTGTAATGGTCACTTACATAGGTGGACTGCACTCTCCGCCAGTGTCCCAGCCCACAGCAATACATCAAGACATCTAGTTGGGGGGAGAAAAGGGGACAGGCTGATGAAGCCTCCGGGATGGGTCGTTTCAGGACAGGATCTTCATGAGACAGGTGATCCACCTAATTGCAAGCTCATCAGGGAGTTTTTTTGTTTTGCTTCTTTTTTTTTTTCTTAGGGGGAGGGATCCCACAAAAGAAAAAAAAAGCCGAGCTTCTGTGTCCACAGGTTGTCGCAGGAGAGAGTCACCTGGGAGTTTAGTGGCTGGTTCTATTCACAAGTTCAGTCCTCAGATGAATCCAGGGGATCCCGACGGCAGACGTCTTAAAGCATTTTCAAAGTCACGCACTTTGCGAGGAGCAAGGATCCAATCTATCGTGAATCCTGCGAAACTGTCCTGAAGACTCGGTGTGATGTGCAGAGTGTGTGCGAGGTTTCTGTGTGTGCTTCTGTTAATGTGCGCTCACCTCATCTTAAGAAGGACAGGTGGTTCTTTTCCCATCCTGTGTGTGTTTACCAAACCTGACCCATTTTTTTGTCCCAGCTCACCCTGTCCAAAAAAATTAAAAACCTCCCATTTAGCCTCCCCCCGGCTTAAGCCCTCCGAATGGTCTTGCTATAAAAACTAAATATCATTTTCTGCTGTGTCCCTTAGTGCTTTGCAGCCTCACAAAATTGTCCAATAAGAGCACTTGCATCGCTCCACATCCATCTTTCTTTTTTTTCCTGTCTATCCTTCAATGTAAGCCCACCCTGGGAGTGCAGATTCAGAGATTTTTAGCTTCAGCGTGATTCCTCTTTTCTCCCTCCTCAAAGAAATGCCAGCTCTATGGCTCCTCCTTCAGTATCTCTCCCTCTCACTGCACACGCTGCTTTGCTCTCTCGAGGGTCGTCTTCCATCAGGGGCGTTCCTGCTTACCTGAGTCACTCTTCGCACTCCTGTTGTTGCTGTGCATGCACGTGTGTGTGTGTGTGTGTGCGTGTGTTTGTGTGTGTGCGTGTGTGTGTGGAGGCTGCAGCTGAAGCTCACCACTCTCCCTCTCTCTGTTGCCATGCTAGAGCAGGTAACATTCGGCTAGCGCAGGAGACACACAGCCTGAATTCAAATGCGCTTCCAGCCTCTCCGATTTACAAAACCTCACCCCTCCCTAAACACCACCCCCCAACTTTCCTCCTCCCCGCCATCTCTCTCTGTTATCTGTTTTTTTCCTCTCACTCTATCGTATTATCCTCTTTTCTTTCCACAATATCCTCTCTCTGTCTCTCTTTCTTTGCCATTGCTTCCTTTTGTGTCATTTTCCCTCCGATGTCAGGGTTTTTCCATGTTATCTTGAGACTGGGCTTAGAAGGTACAGGAAATTACTCTGTTTCCATTTGTGACAAAATATGAAGACTTTACAATTAAGTTTAAAAAAAACTCACTGAAATCAAGAGAGGAAAATCTGTGTATTTATCCGTACTATTACCATCCATTTCCACTTTAGACAAGATTTTAGCAAGTGTCAAGTGCTCAAGTGACATCAGCATGCAAAAACAAGTGTGGAAGATCCTTGATGGGAACTGCAACATTTGCATAAACTCATAAATAAAACTTACTGCTGATGGTACAGTCCAAATATAGACAAAACCCCCCCAAACTTAAAAGATTTAAATCTTTTATGATTTACTAATGAATGTGAGTTAAGCCAGTAAAAATGCAAAACAGTGTACCATGCTAATATAAATACATCTTTATACAGGTATTTATCCATGTTTTCTAACAACCCATTGCATTGTGGGAGCAAAAAACCCAAAAGGCAGAAAAAACACTGCACACTGACATGTTTCATTTTGATCTTGGACTCTACCTGATGAAATATCAAGACTTATATTTTTAATTAAAATCACAACGACAAAAAACAAAAACAGAATAATCATATTTAGAACATTTTGTTTTGAAAGAGTCAGTTTAGTCAGAAGTATTTTTGAGTCTGAGCTTTATATTTAACATGTGAACAGTCAGGCACAGTTTGATCAGTTTGTTCCTGCCAGTTTTTAACCTCAGGCAGTCTAACAGTGGGTGATATGACTAAATACTAAGGTTAGCTGCTTGCGTCTCTCAAGACTGTTGGTTTGTTGGTTGGTTATATACTGCAAATAATTTTGACTGCTTACAGATATAAGCAGGAATAGTTTGGGGTACTATCACAAGTTTTGTAATGTGTTAATTAAACTACAGCTAAGAATCACAAGATAACCCAGCCCTCATGACTGGGAATTACTCCATATGAGTAAGCAAGTGCAATTTTATTTGTATAGTACCTTTCAAGAAAAAAATCACAAAGTGCTTCACAGAAGCTAAAACATTAAACAATAAAAACAAAAAAATAACCAAAAGCAAGTTTAAAAGGATGAGACCAGTCCAGAGATCTCAAACTCAAAGGGGAGTCTGGGGGCCTCTGTCACCTTTCGTTTTCAGCCTCATATGATGGACAGCCAGCAAGCCCTGATCACATGACCTCAGGGACCTGTTGGGGATTAACGGATGTAAAAGATCTCTGATGTATGGTGGTGCTTTACCATGCAGAGCACTGAATGTCAAAGTCATGATCTTAAAGTGGACTCTGAATTTAATAGGGAGCCAGTGCAGCTTGATCAGCAGAGGTGTGATATGCGAGTACTTGGAAGACTTGGTCAGAAGCCCAGCACCAGCATTCTGGACAACCTGCAGACATTCCAAGGAGGCCTTACATAAACAAGAAAACAAAGAATTACAATAGTCCAAATGAGATGAAACAAATGCATGTAACAATTTCCAGTTCAAAGCGTGACACAATGGGACTCAGCAATATTTCTCAATGAGCAAACCAGAGATTTAACGTGAGTGTCCAAAGTCAGAGCTTATTAGACATTTACCAGGCTTCACGCAAAAGCCAGGCTAAAGTCCAAAGTTTTCATTCATTCTTTGAGATTAAAATGCAAAGAGCAGATTCATCGCTCTTAGTTTACAGTCTTAATTGTTAACTTGAAAATGACAAACTGTGTTGATCCATTCTTTGAATTATTTTGGTTTAGCAGCAGTGGAAATTGATAAATAATCAACCTGACATTGTACGATACATGGGAGATACACCAAGATACACCAATTCAGGGCTGGTCTTACCTAAATTCAGGGCAGATGGGGGACACAAAACTAATCCATTTATTCCATATTTTGTAGAATTTGTCTTTCCGAATTTTTAAAAAGAATGTCAATTTTTCCATTTTAAATATTTCGAAAACCACATTAAACCAATCCTCAAGTGTTGGCGGAGTTGGATTTAACCACTTTATATGTACCTAATGTAGTTTTTGCAAATAAGTTAAACATGCTGCATTATGTAACACATTGTCAAGCCAATGAGTTAATTTTATTTTTTTGCTATCAGAATGTAAAACAAAAGGACTAAGAAAAAGGGTTTTGTTTTTTTTTTGTTTTTTTTTATTTTCCTTTTCTCTTTTTTTGACTAAATAATGTCAATGCACTCTATTGTAACAAGTCCCTTTTTTTTCTTCAATAAAAATATAATTTAAAAAAAAGGAAATTGATAAATACTCCCTCATAGCACATTTAACAATGGTAAAATTAATGCAGTTTAACACAATCCACACAGTGTAATCGCCACGGGCTAAAGATGGAAAAGTGGTCAGCATCAGAAAGGGAGGAAATATAACTGGCTATGCAGCTAGCTTACGCCCTTGTTGTGTAGCTGCGCTGAGCAGGATTTTTCTTTCCACAGCTTCAACAAAGATTTAGGGTAAAATAGGAACTTCTTTATTTGCAGTTTGTGCATCAGAAACTAGTCAATAAAGGAAAGTCTTTGGATATAGTTTTGAGAGACATTTGCAGATAGTAAAGTAAGATATGAATGGAACTATTTGAAATTCCAGTTTTTCTTGATTGCTTCATTGCTTGGCTGTTTTGGCACTGCGAGGATTCTCTGAATCTTTGTGTCCATTTTCTTAGCGACTTATTCAGTTCAGGGTTTCAGAGGGATGGCACCTATACTAGCTGGAGCCTATATTACTGGGTAAGAGGCAGGGTACAAACTGGACACGTCACCAGTCTATCACACCCTCACATTAACATCTTTTGATACTTTAGGCTCACCAGTTAACCTGATATGTATGTTTCTGGACACTGGAGTAAGAACCCACAGGCACAGAGAAACTGTATAGACCTGTGGCGTCAAAGTAACTGTGATTCATCCTCTAAATGCATCTATAAAATTAAATTAAACATAATTAAAAATCATAAATGAATATGTCTTTACATTGTACAACCAAAAAAATCACCATTTTAGAGGCAGTATGAAAAAAAACTTTCCATGTATACTATCTGGACCACATATTTCTTCGAGCAGAAGATTATTTCCTCCTGTTATAAGGAAATTGGACTTTCAAGCCAGACAAAACTACTTAACAAAAACTATTTTCACTGTGCTGAATATGAATTTTAAAATGCCAGAATTATTGCAAAGCCTCTCTCTCAGCAGACTTGATGGGTTAATTTGATGGCAGATAAATAAATAAATAAATAAATGAAAGCCTGCCTCAGAGAACTCTCCATCCATGAATGTGGATCTTAGTCTCTTATTGCAAGGCTGTTGTGTTTTTGCTTTGATCATTTCGAGCATTTAACCAATGTCACAAGGGAAAGAAAAAGTGCTCTCCATCCTGCCAACATGACGTATTGCAACATGGTCATAATCACTCGAGCTGCACTAATGCCTTCTTGCAGATTATAATATGAATCATTAAAGAGTAGGCTGATGGTGGCTATGGGGAAATTAAGGGAAGATAATTTTAGTTTCCATACCGGTAAATGAAAGCAGGCCAGCTATGGTCCCTCACTGTGAATCCAAGCTGCTTGTCTATTGCCCTGTCATTTGTACATCATTAATAACACCTTCAACAAATCTTCTCTCTTAGTGTGGCAACAGATTTACAGCTCAGATTTATCAGCAGCAATTCAACTGAATCCATTCATTTCTTCCTTTCTTCACTCGAGAATAGTTGCTGGTTTGAAAATTCCCTTAAACAATTAGTCCTGCAGCCCCGGCTCATGCATCAGAGGAACAAAGACCAAATGCACCATGGGTATAATTCTGTCAGGTTTGTCCGGTTGGAGGACTGCCGATTACAGTAAACACCAACAACAGCTCTCTGTTGTGTCACAACAACAGATACACACAGAAACATGCACACATGCATATCAAGGTTCCAGTCCACTGAGTTATACAGCCATAGAACCATATAAACTACCGCTATGCCTTCATGCTATAAACAAAAGAAGAGGGGAAATGCTAATTTGTGACATCCAAGGACAGAAGAGGCAGCACATAAAATCCAAGACTTTTCGACTTCTTAGTTTTTTTGCATTTTTTTCCACACTTAATTGTTTCAGATCATCAAATACATTTATGTTATCCAAAGATAACTTGAGTAAATACAAAATGCATTTTTTAAAATCAGAATTTTATTTATTAATGGAAAAAGCTATCCCCACCTCCACTGTTAAATGTACTAGCCACACCCAGGCCTGATAGCTGCCAGATCACTTAAATAGGCCCAGAAGGACGGCCTTGCCTGCCTTGCCTCAGTTAAGGTCAGAGTTCATGATTCAATATATAAAAAGGCTGAACAAAAATGGGATCCATAGACAGAGGTGGGAAGTAACAAAGTGCAAATACCTCCTTACCGTACTTAAGCATAATTTCCAGGTATCTGTACTCAACTTGAGTACTTTTTTACTTTTACTTCCTACATTTTTAAACAAATATCTGTATTTTTAAAACAGGCTTGTTTCTTT